TAGCATGTTGCCCTCTCACAGGTCTTTTATATCTTGACCCCATATCTGGCACGCTTGCTGGGGAGAAACTGAATGCAAAGCAGCCAGAAAAATTAATGAGGGACTCATCAACACAGATGTTTTGCTGGGGAGTATAGACATCTGCAAATTTTTGGTTAAGGTGATTTACGAGTGGCCGAATTTTGTGGAGCCGGTCAAATTCAGGGTCACTCCGAGGATGACAGAGTGTATTGTCGTTAAAATGCATAAAACACATTATACTCTCATATCTATGCCTGTCCACGGCAGCAGAGAACACAGGCATATATATGATGAATCAGGTTTGTGGACCAATACAACCGCAATTTTTTTTTTTTTTTTTTTTTAGTAATGCCCATGTTGAGGGTTAGGCCTAAAAAAAAAAAAAAAAAAAAAAAAAAAAAAAAAAAAAAATTTAATTCGGAAACTGTAATAGGTTTCCATGCGAATAGTCTGGCAAGGTTTGAATTTGGGGGTTGGCTGCAATACATCGTTGTGCATATAAATTGCTTTGATCCACAATCAATCCATACAGATATTCTGATCCCACTAACACTATGTTTTTGGGGTCACTATACTAATGTGAATGTTGGTATAGTGCTGATCTGATCAAAGATATTGATCCGTTCAGACACTGTACTAGCAACGGAGGTTTATTGTGTATGAGAGTGGTCCTGGCAATCAAGGGGTTAAATGTGATTACTGGTGTACTGATGGGCAATCTGACGCTATCCGGGAGGGGCGTGAAAACCACAGCAGCACAAATCACACACACATACACAAAATATATATATATATATATATATATATATATATATATATATATATATAGTGCCGTCCTGTAGCAATATTACTGCTGTAGGGCGGTCAAGAAGCGGTTAAAGAAGCGGTTTGCATTACAGAGTTGCGTTACTTTAATGGACAATTGCGCAGTCATGCAATGCTGCACCCAAATTAAATTTATGTCCTTTTTTAGCCACGAATTGAGCTCAGTGTTATTTGATCGACAATTTTGAGAAAAAAAACAAACAATAATTTGGACTTTTTGCTATTTTATTTAACATGTCTAGTAAAAAATGTTTAAAAAAATCTAATTCTGTCAAAAATTTAGGCCAAAATATATTCTGCTCCATGTCTTTGCTAAAAAAAAAAAATCCCAATATATCTAAATTAATTGGTTTACGTGAAAGTTATAGCGTTTACAAATGTCGGTATAGATACTGGAATTTTTTTTTTTTTATACTAATAATGGTGGCGATCAGCGACTTATAGCGGGACTGCGGCGGACATTCTGACACTGGGGGCACTGACATCCCCAGTGACACCTACACAGTGATCAGTGCTAAAAAAAACAACTTTTGGCACTGGGCAGTAATGGGTTAACATCGGGGGGCAATCAAAGGGATAACTGTGTGATGGGAGTGTTTTACTAGGGGACGGGTGTGGGGTGCTTTTCACTGTAAGCACACTGCTCTGGATGGCTCAGCCATCCAGAGCAGTGTGCCCAAACTGACAGGTAGGACTGTTGGTAGACAAAGCAGCCCTCCTCTCTGTTGGTGATCACCGAATGGCAGCACAAGTAGGGCTCGCACACGCCCCTTACCCGGAAATGCAAAATTATGTGTATATCTACTATAGGGCGGTCCTTAAGCAGTTCAACAGCAAATAGCATGGCTCCTTCACTACCCAGTAAAACTAGTAGCAGCATGATTGAGCACTAAAAAGTAAAAATGTAAAAACAGCCTTTATTTAATTTGTAAAATGAGTTTGCTATGCTTTGAAGAGAAATGCAAATTTAGCATGGTAATAAACCGAACAAATCATAAGATGAAATATGCACGCTTTCCCAGTTTTGTTATATCTTTTGTCTATAGTTTGCATAGAAAGTAAAATAATTTTGCATGAAAATATTTGCAGGGGGAATCAAAAAAGTAGTTAAGATCACTTATCTTAACCACGTCCTTCCTGGCCTTTTGTAATACTCCGGCTGGACAGGTGCTCTCTAGTTCCAGATGGACGTCATACGACATCCTACTGATCACGCGCCTTGTGTGCGCCCTAGGGGCTGCACAATGCCGTGACCTGTCACCACATTGTCCATCAGACACAGCGAAACACAGATCATTGTGCCAGGTCGCTCTGTGCACGACCCCTCTGGTCACCCCTCTGGCAGGTGTCACCCAGTTTCGATCCACACACCCCAAGTGATGCCACTGGGTGCACGGTTACTTGGGCATGCAGGAGGCGCCCTGATACTGCCTATGATGGAAGCTGGGCCCGTTCCACTAGTCAGGGCCCCTCCCCAGGTGGCAGAACGCCAGGTCCTGCTCGCTGCAACCCTGGTAGTTCTGCCACTGTGGATAGAATAAGTAAGAATTCTATCCCTATCAGTTTTTTTTTGCCATCTGTGTCCCAGTGGGGAGATTTTTCTTTATTTCCTGTCCCACAGCCAAAGAAGGGAGAAGAAATCCCTCCAACGAGAGAGAATCTCTGGTGTCTCCAACAGCACCAGAACTAGCAAAAACATTGGAATATTTCACCTCTATTACTTTTCCAAGGAAAACCCAAAATTTTGGATTTTCCTTTACTTTCACCAATCGATGATAATGGTGAAGATGGAAATGGAGGGTAAATCTCCCTAACAGGGGCACAAAAAAGTAGAATATAGATCAGCTCATCTATCTATTACTATTGTTCAATCTTTCCATCAGCATGCTTCTTGTTAAAACATTAACCAATTGGCTTCTTGTACCACTTATTTCATTTTAGCCCTGCTTTAACTGGGCCACAATAGGCGGACACCAGGTCAAATTCAGATGCTTACACAGCTTGCCCTTAAAATGTATTGCTGAACTCCATGTCAAGTAGAAAATGTTCAAAAACCTCCCTCTCCAAGCATGAAAAAGAAGTTAGTTATTTTGTACCAGCCTTATTTGAAGTGTATAAAATGTACACTTCAGTCACCTCAATGTCGGGCAGTGCAATGCGCTGCCTGACATTGCAGTGTGATTCAACCCAGCATGCTGTGACAAAATGCAGCATGTCTACATTTTAGAGGAATGCTAAGCTGTGTTGCAGTGTGAATAGAACACATAGGAAACAATTGTTTCCTATGTGTCCCTGCATTAACAGATGTTTTACAATGCATTAAAAATGTCTGTCAACACAGAGTATGACCTGCCAGATTACTTGTACAACTTTTGAGAGAAGTGACCCGTCATCACTGTAGTCCTGTTAATGGTCTCAAATCTTGTGCTTCTCTAAGACCCCAGTACATTCAAAGTTTCCCCCAACCAGTGCACAGTAGGGTCCACATTTTGCAAAAAAGTAAAAAATGCAAACATATCCATTGATGCAAAAAATGTGCATCAATATAGGAAGTTCAGAGCTCCACCTAAGGCAGTAAAGTAATGATCTGACAGAAATCAGAACCTGCCTCTTTCCATCTTCTCCAGCTATTAAAGCTGTGTTAAACCCAAAAGCAATCATTTATTATCTTGTTGCTTACCAATCCTTTGATGTGATGGCAGCACTCATTTCCTTTTTTTGGCCTTTTTTCTTCTATTTTTATCTGGTGGTCCAGCCATCAAGTCTGTTTTTCAAAAGCATAAGCTTTTCAGCAGAATGCATCAGTTTACATGGATGAGACAAACCAATTAACTCTGACAAGGTTGCTTTTTTTAAATTACTAACTTTTATTTATTCATGAAAAAACATTTATTCCAAAAAGGTAAAAAAAAAAAAAAAACTTCTGTAACTGATCATAAAGTATCAAAGACATCAATTTATTAGTGATTTTAAATGTGTGAATATTTCTAATGCTACCCTCCCCAGACTGACAATGCTGCTGTCTGTTGTACCTCCTGTGCTCCTTCATCCAGAGCTGTGTCTCTCTAATACAGGTGGTGTGTTACTGGCCACAGATCACCAGGTGAAAACAGGGGGAAAAAAGCCAACAAAAAGAAAATTGATGCCGACACTACATCTAATGTTTGTTAAGCTGCAATATATTAACTTTTTTGGTTGCAATAGCGGTTTAACAGCAGAGTGGAAGAAGAAGGGCAGGCACTGATCCTTGCCAGATTGCTACTGGAAGCTGCCAGCTTCCATGTTAATATGTAGCATCCAACTACAAACGCTGCACACTGACAGAAAAAAAAAAAAAAATGTTTGAAATTGTATCTGATAAATCAGTCTGCCTTTGTTCTCCTGCTCACCCGTCCCCCCCAAAGCAATGGAGAGATAAATTCAGAGGTGCAGATGGGACATAGCTGTGACAAGTGGGTGATGCAGAGTTCAGCTACAGAAGGGCAGTGATGTGACCGGCTGGCTACAGAGAAACAGGCTGCAGTGACTGGTTGTCCTCACAGGAAATGGGTGCCTTTAAAAAAAAAAAAACAAAAACAAAAAAAAACCTATTCTTTTATTCTACGGAGCACAGGAACTAAAGCTAAAAAGACAATCTGACCTGCAACAGGCATCCAATATAAAAAGGACTACTACATTTTCCTTCTACCTGGAGTTCAGTTTAAAATTATGTATTGATGATATATAAACATATCTGTTTCTCCACTCTGTTTCTCCATATCTGTTTCACATCCACTCCAGAAAATCAGGATAACATTCAAAACAACAAGATAGTGAAGCAGTCCATTAAAACTATGTAAAGTTCATGTACTAGTTTCATATTTAACTGCATAAGAATGCCATATATACCCAGTACCACAGAACTAAGTATTTCATACCTTCAGACTGGTAAACATTGGTAAAGGGGAAACATAGTAACCAGTACTTACCTTCACTCCAGCGAGAAAAACTCTGCAAGATCCCTCGCAGTTGCTAACACCTTCACCTGCACTCATGGGTTAGGCATGTTTGGCTATCATAACTGGTTTGCCTGGGAAAATGTTACTCGCACGCATATAAAGGAAGTCTTCTCTATTACACCAAATACGTACCATAGGTATAAAATCAATCCTTACCTTCCAGAGGTACCTTTATGATGTCTAAACAAAACTGTAGATTTAAAAAAAAAAAAAAAAAGCTCGGTTAAAAAGTAAACACTCAACAATAGGTAAAAATCATGTCAGGTCTAGAATATTAAAAACAAAAAGCACAGTAATCTTTATTACACAGATTTATATTTTCTATCTGGTACACTAGACTTACAATATGAGTTCTACAAACAGACTTGTATGACCAGAATAGAATTTTTGCACCCATGATAAAAAAAAAAAAAAAATTCTTTTTTTGGATGGCCACTGAGGGACACAGAAAGTCAAACCTTTGGGTTATACAGCCACCTACAGAAGAACTGGACAAAGAAAGACAAAATAAGATAATCCTTCCTATAGCAGCATGCCTGCTTTGTAGCAAATCACTGCTGAGAACAAGATCAAACACAAAAAGGGTGGAAAAGGCTATTACAGCAAGTACAAAAATCCTATTTTCTTTCTTGTCCACTGAGGGACACAAAGTCTTAGAGAGAAACTGGGGGGGGCATAAATAAGAATTTAAAATCTGCTGGTATAGAAGTGTAGGTCACGTCCTGGATTTCGCTCTTGTTTAAAAATTATGTTTTACAGAGCACCAATAGTATACCTTTTACTATACTCTGCTGCTTCTAGAGGAATGATATGGCTCTTTTACACAGCAGCCACTCTCCCTGCCCCCTCCTCTCCCCTGCTCATTCACAGTACAGTCTAGATTTTGCGAGGTTCACAGAATGGAGAGCATTCTGTAACTAAAAAAGGGGAGAGGAGGAGCAGGCAGTGCAGTTGCAAGTACTACAGCTGCTGTAAGGGCACCCCTAGCTGGGTGACGAAGCACCATAAGTATAGCAATAGCTATACTATCCTTGAGCTCTTCTTTAAATCTCCAGGACATCCAAAAGCAGTCTAACTGAGGAGTGGCCAACAAAGTAAAGCAATTGCTAATGGACCTGCGGGAAAAAATTAAAGAAAAAAAAGAAAAAAGAAAAAAAAAAAAAAAAAAAGATGTGGGGGCTGACTGTAGTTCAAGCAGCCAAATGAATGACCGTGCGCTCAATGCTGGCATAAGATGAGGGCAAACATCTACCTTAAAGAGTAACGCTACTTTTGTGGGAAAAAAGAAATAGCAAATAAAAATTAAATAGCATATACAATTGCAACTCAATTGCATGTTATTAAAATTACCTTTCCTTTTCAATCTGCAGCACTGTTATTTTCTGTAAAATGAAATGCAACATGGTAACCTGGAGGTGTTCTGTACACAGGTGGTGTACAGAACACCCCTCAGAGATGTAATCTACTGCTTGTGTGATTGGCTTACTGATTTTCCCAGAAGTCTGCACTAAAATACAAGTCACATTTTGGGAATCCCCTACAACAAAATGTCATTTTTGATGAGATACTCTCAAATGGAGAGCTTTTTGAGAGCTCTGCAACAGCTGATTATTGATAATCACTCCTATACAGATTACTCTAAACATGAACACAGACAGCTTCAGAATAATAAAAGGTAGGAATCTACAACAAAGTTTGTTAAAATCTCTGCAATATACATAGATCACCCAGAGGGGAATGTGTTTCTCAACAAAAGTGAAGTTTGTCCTTGAAGAATGCGTGAACAGATCAGATGGCAGCCCCGCAAATCTGGGAAAAAGTTGATTGATCCCAAAGATCTCTAGCAGTAATAATGTTCTAATAGAGTGCATATCAAGAGAAAAGGGAGAAATTCGACACTTAAGATCACTTAAAATCTTGAATGATGGTCTATCTGAGCCACCTAAAGATATTGGAATGAGAAGTCGAGGCATTCTTCCAGAGTCCATCTGGGATGCGAAAAAGGGAATCAGTCTTTCAGAAAGATATGTATAGACTCGGTTTGCCTGAAACATATCTACACAACTTCCTTTTACTGCAACAGACATACAGATGGACAGATGAGGTTAAAAGACAGAAACTACTTTAGAAAGAGTTCTAGGCCTCAACGCCACTTTGTCCCTAATGCGAGACCAAAAAGGGTTCATTGAAAGATAAATCCACGAGTTCTTTAAGGAAATGGCAGACACTTGACCCTTAGTAGTGCCGAGAGCCAAATGCTGGTTCAAACCCAGCTGCAGGAAAGAGGATTCATCCCACTGAGAAACTCATGGTGGTGGAAGCCCAGAGACTCACACCTGATGAAGTATGCCTTCCACATTGACGAGCGACCCTGCAGGAAGTAGACTTTCCAGCTTCATACATTGCAGGATTCACATACTTCGAGCTGCCCCTGTTCTTACTTTCTAGGCTTGACCAGCCATGGTCTCAAAGCCAAAGGTCAACAAGCAAGTTAGCAAATTGGTCTTTGGGACAGAAAATGCTGCTTATCCAGCAGTGCCTGCAGTACCAGGTCAGTGTACCACATACATTTAGGCTCATCCAGAGCAATGAGGATCACTGGAATGCCCACTGTATGGACTAGAAAGATGTTTCGGGGTGGGGGTGAAGGTATGCATAGATCAGGATGTACTGATCCCATTGAGCCAAAATAACTTCTACTGCTCCTGAAAGGGTGTTCTGTACCAGGATAAAAACCTCTCCAGTTTGTTGATGAACCTATAGGCCAGAAAGTCTACCTCCAGCATCCCCCAACTGCAACACAGGTCCTGGAACATCTCCAGATGCAAGGACCATTCTTCCCTAGTCCAGGGTGCAGTCTGAGGAAAAACTACCTACCACATGTCTACATGTGCTTGACAAGGCTGGAACATGACGCCCTACCCAGGACAGGACCTGCTCTACCTCTTATCGTAGATAGACTTCAGGATCCTCCTTGATGCACCACACCACTTTTGCATTGTCTGACTGAATCTGGATTGGATAACCATCCAACAAGGTGGTCCAACGATGAAGAAACTTCCAAATCACCTGAAATGTCAGGTGTTTATCAGGAGATGAAATTCCAAACGATGACAAAGTCCCCTGTACTGACAAGGTGAACAAGACTCCCACCCAGCTTAATAGGTTGGCATTGGCAATGACAGGAAGAAAAGACTTGACTTCAGAGCTGAATTCCTGGGCCACAAGGCCTGTCCAGAGGTAGGACTAACTAGACCCACAATGACACAACATTGTAGTGTAGATGTCTGGAGTGAAAAAGGGTGCAGGGGACCATCTTGAGGAGGCTACCATTAGTCCAAAGACTCTCATGCAGAAGCAGTGTCGGTCGGTTCTGACTGAATAATTCAAACCTAAGACCAGAGAATCTGAAGAGTCCCCTGGGAAAGAAAGACCCAGAACTAAGGAGTGTCCAGGACCAGACCCAGTTACTCCAAGCAATGGGTTGGTTCCAGTGACAATTGAAGGTGTAGTATTCACCTGAATCGCTAACGTTTGGACAGTTAGCTTGTCAACAGAGCTCTCGCCAACTAGTCCCTTCACAGGAGGCCATCTAAGTGTCTCTCATTGGGAATGCCACAAGAACACAACAGGTTAACACTGTAGCCAGCAACTGGCTAAACCACTAAGGTGGAGAGGAAAGGCAGAAGGGCAGGGCTAAAAAACTACTGGGGCCCCATGGTAAAGCATAGAAAGTACTGCAATAATGGGAACACGCAAGTAAACATATTTGATGTCCACAGAAGCTAGAAAATCCACCTAGTAGAGGGATACAAGGACAGATCTCGAAGATTCTATCTGGAGCCACTGGACTGAAATGTATATATTTAGAGCCTTGAGATACAAGATATGGTGTATGCCCCCTTTAATTCTGAAAACAGCTTGGAGTAAAACCCATGGGAACCATTCTGCCAGAGGGACACCATGATTCAGAAGAACCTCTGGAAAGTGGAGGCACACCTTCATGCAAAGGGAGGCTTGAATGAGGATTTGGCTTGTTTGGAATTACAAATTTTGCAAATGCGTGTATAAGAAAGAAGTGTGCCAAAAGTCTAATGTGAGTCCAGTAAGTCTTTACTGCATATAACAAGACCACCAGCACATTTTGGGAGCTCAGACTTTCCCCCTTTATCAAGGCTAAAATGACATAAGAGAACATGAAAAAGGTTATCTAAACATGCAATTTACTGAAACATCCCAATAATTCAATATTATAAATATTGTAAACCTCATATGTTACATTTCCTAACTTATGAGTTAGGGTGATAACCTAGTATGATTAAAAGGGGAAAAAAGCAAGCAAAAAAACAAAAAAAACAAACAAATGGTAGCAAAATACACTATGTTGCCAAAAGTATCCAAAATTATGTTTCCTCCAGAGACTTCAGCTCTCACTTTCCAAAGTCATGCTGGTAGGTTGATTGGCTTCAGTCTAAATTGGCCCTAGTATGTATGTTTATGACAGTGCGTTATCAATCTTAGATTGTAAGCCTCCTTGGGGACAGGGACCGATGTGCATGTATAATATACACTATATTGCCAAAACTATTGGGACACCTGCCTTTACACGCACATGAAGTTTAATGGCATCCCACTCTTAGTTTGTAGGGTTCAATATTGAGTTGGCCCACTCTTTGCAGCTATAACAGCTTCAGCTCTTCTGGGAAGGCTGTCCACAAGGCTTAGGAGTGCGTCTATGGGAATGTTTGACCATTCTTCCAGAAGTGCATTTGTAACGTCAGGCACTTATGTTGGCTGGGAAGGCCTGGCTCGCAGTCTTCGCTCTAATTCATGCCAAAGGTGTTCTATTGGGAGTAGGTTGAGACTCAAAACAACCCACACCATTATCCCCCCTCCACCAAACTTTACATTGACACAATGCAGTCAGGTAAGTACCGTTCTCCTGGTCACCGCCAAACCCAGACATGTCCAATGGATTGCCAGACAGAGAAGCGCGATTTCGACACTCCAGAGAACATGTCTCCAATGCTCTAAAGTCCATTGACGGCGTGCTTTATAACACTGCATCCGACACTTTGCATTGCACTTGGTGACGTAAAGCAGCTGCTCGGCCTTGGAAACCCATTTCATGAAGCTCTCTACTTACTGTTGTGCTAATCTGAAGACCACACGACGTTTGGAGGTCTTTAGTTATTGACTCTGCAGACAATTGGTGACTTCTCTGCATTGTGCGCTTAAGCATGCAATGACCCCGCTCTGTCCTTTTATGTGACCTACCACTTCGTGGCTGAGTTGCTGTTGTTCCCAGCTGCTTCCACTTTGTTATAATACCACTAACAGTTGATTGTGGTATATTTAGTAGCAAGGAAATTTCATGGATGGACTTATTGCACAGATGGCAACCTATCAAGGTACCACGCTTGAATTCACTGAGCTCCTGAGAGCGACCCATTCTTTCACAAATGTTTGTAGAAGCAATCTGTATGCCTAGCTGCTTGATTTCATACACCTGTGGCCATGGAGGTGATTGGAACACCTGAACCCATGATTCAGGTGTTCCAGAGGGCTGGCCCAGTACTTTTGGCAATATATTTTATGTTAGTCTATACAGCAGAAAAGGTGAAGAAAAGATGTCCATCTATTTAGGATACCATAAAAAGAAAGAAAAAAATCGGGGCATGCTGGCAAAAAGAGGGGCTATCCTAGAATGGCCTAAAGTTTTTCTGCTTGCCACTCTTCAATCGTCCTGTAGGGCCAAGTTTTAAGACGTAACTGCATTTTTGTTGAAAACAAAAACAAAACCCTTTGGGTGATCAATGTATGAGAATGAGAGGGTCTGGTTAATTGTTAATCAGCTGATACACTGTGTTCTAATGATGGAAAGTGTGGTGTCTGCTTTCCTTTAGAAGTGATTAAGCCTTGAGAAGTATCTCACCAAGATTTACATTGCCTAAAATTTTACTTTTATCTTAGTGCAGACTTCTGTATCAGTGAGCCAATCACACAAGTCATAAGTGATATTTTTGGAGGCATTCTGTAAACCGTGTACAGAACATCTGCAGGTTGCCATATTGCTTTGAATTTCACAGAAAATTACAGCGCTGCAGATTGAAAATGGAAGGTAATTTTTAATAACATTAAATCACAACATGGCTTGTGTAGAAATAATTTTTTAGACATTTTTTTTATTGTGGACAAAAGTGGAGTTATCCTTTAAGACTTACGGTGTCTCTAAATAGGCGAGAAAAAGAAATGCTACTAGGAAAGAATGAAAATGTGTAAATGTTTACCAAACTCCAAGTCTTACAGCCTTAGAAAGAACGTCAAACATCTGTCAATATCAACATCTGTGTAGCAATAAGGTACTAATATTTTGATTCTACATTATAACATGTTAACTTTAAAGCACTTTGTACAAAATAATTTTAGGGTTTCAATTAACAGCCCAATTCTATTGAACAATATTATAAGTGGACTGTTGAGGACAGGGGTCTACAAGCTGCATCCTTTTGCTTGCCTTTATCTAGCCCTTGGGGCACTAATCCTCCCACTGACACCAGAGACAGGGAATGAATTATGCCACTGACACCAATAATGTTTTTTACTCCCACTGACCACCAAGCCTATGGCGTTGTTTATGCCCACTGGCCACAGTCGGGCCCCCCTAATATTTGAAGGGCAGTAAACTAGCCCTTTATTTTTAAGGTTTGTAGTCCCCTGGTTTAGAATAACCAGCAAGTAGCAATAAGGAGCTACTTCAAATATCATTTGTCTTCCCACAATGCAGAAAAGTCTCTGGACACAAATATAACTAGCCTTCCACTGCACTGCAGTGGTTTGTTGGCAGAATTCAAGCAAGAATCACAGCAGAACACAGCAGTGCACACTGCACCCTGGGAAAAGCAATGCGTTTATGTACTTACCACAACAGAGTCTACTATTGTTCTATACAAGGTTCCCACACGTATATTTCGACAAGTCACAATGATACTTTCACAGTTAGCAAGAAACTCTGGTAAAGGCTCACTCGGAACATCAGACTGGGCAACTTTACGGCGCTTACTTGGAGTATTAGTGACAGAATTGCCAAACTGTGAAAAAAAGAAGAAATTAGTACCACAGCTGCTACAATACATCATCATTTTGTTTTACTTGGTACTGAAATTGCAGAGAACAGACTGACCCTATACCTTTTAACCCGTAATGCCCAAGTCCAGGCAAAAATTAAATCGGTTTCACTCCAAACACTTCTCTTTCTAAGCCATCTTGCAGTGTAATGAATCAAAGTCAGTTTCCTCAATAAGCCAAGATAATTTCCTGCTCTGGAGACCAGGTATTTTTCTTCGCTACCTCTCTTTATGCACACCTGGTCCCCTCACTGCACTCTGAGTTCTCCTGCCTCTGGAGCCTATGAGAGAGGACCCAGCCACCGCAAAGGTTGCCTGCACCAAAAGTAGGTGTCCAGAACACACATGCAGTGAAGTGGACATCAGAAGAAGGACCCCAGAAGATGAGAGAAGGATTATCACGTGATCCTGGTTACAGGTAAGCAAAATGGGCATTTGAAGAGTTAATTTTTTTCAAACCAGTGGTTAGAGGGAGGTAGGTGGGGGGTGTTAATATCGTGAATTTGGACTTAACGTGTTTGCTGCCTCAAACGTATGACAGGGGCAACAGGTGGGCTTTATGCACTTCACAAGATGGCTGTCAACGGTTTCACTTTTGATTTTCTTAACCACTTCAATACCGGGCACTTTTGCCCCCTTCCAGCCAAGGCCATTTTTCAGGTTTCAGAGCTCTCACACTTTGAATGACAATTGCGCGGTCATACAACATTTACACCCCAAACTAAAATTTTATCATTTTCTTCACACAACTAGAGCTTTCTTTTGGTGGTATATAATCACCACTGGGGTTTTTATTTTTTGCTAAATTAACAAAAAAAGACCGAACATTTTGAAAAAAAAAATTTATTTGTTTCTGTTATAAAAGTTTGCAAATAATCGTTCTTCATAAATTTAGACCAATATGTATTCTGCTACAGGTTTTGGTGAAAATAACCCAAATTAGGATGTATTTTTTAGTTTGTAGGAAAGTTATAGAGTTCACAAACTATGGGATATATCTGAATATTGATCAATCCTGAAGTACTGACAGCCAATCTAATTTCTTGAGGTCCAAGAATGTCAGAACAGTACAGATATCCTCCAAATGTCCCCTTTTTGCAAAGTAGACAGTCCGACGTACTGCATAAGGGGCATGGCGAATTTTTTGAAGTTGTATTTTTTTTGTCATAATTTTTCAGAAAATGAAAAAATTAAAAAAATTATTTTCACTTTTTTTTTTTTTTTACATACTGCCACCAGTGCACCATCATATAACTGGCATGGCGGTGATCAGGGACACTGACTGGTGACAGTATGAAAAAAAAATATATAATTTTTTTATTTTATTATTTTTAATTTATTACATTTTTTCTTTAAGATTTTTTTTCATATTTCACTAAGACCAAAGTAGTACAATGTTACCATAGTAACACTGTACTACTTTGGGGAAGTGATCAGTATTTTTTTTTTTTTTTTACATAATTTGCTTATAGCAAAGAATTACTTTGCTATAAGCAACCATTTACCTGAATGACATCGATTCATTCAGCGTTTTTTTTTTTTTTTGTGCTTAGCTGTGATTTGGCCACGGCTAATCACGACACAGCTGGGCTTGTACATGTGATCGCTATGACCATTCAAAGCTAGACACACTAGTACACAATGGATGGCATCATGAATGAAGACATCCATTGTATACAACTGTCATGTGACCTGCTGTGATTGGTCTCAGATCTGTCATCGGCCGTGTCCGAGGTACATGGCCGGTGACAGATTGCGCTGCTGCGCGGCTCCGCAGGCACGCAAACGGCTCATGCCCGAAAGGACGCCATATGGCGTCCACCCGGAATGGTGAGGGTTTTTGCCAGCTGCCATTCGACCATAGGCCAGGCGGGAAGTGGTTAAATTATTTATTGGAAATTAAAAATAAGAGTCAAACCCAAGCACTAAAACTCCAATCCCAACAAAATTTTGAGCCTGCCTTGCCTTCACATAGGAGCACAAATGTAAAACACACCCATAGGGGGCACCTACGTCTAAAAATATTACTTACGCTGCATGGTACATATCACTACGCATGTCAGAGAGACAGCAATAATTCTAGAGCCATTATTCATAGGCTACGGTAAATGAATGCCCTTCAGAGGCTTTTAACAAAACATCCATGGTAAATATAGGGTACCAAAGTTCAATGTCATGTTGTGGGTGCATGCATTTTTAAAGCTTGACATGTTGGGTATCTATTTACTCAGCACAACCTCATTTCATATTTTATCAAGAAATTGTGCTTGTAACATTGTTGCGTGACATTAAATATTTGCACTACCAAGAATTTATTGTCCATGGTCTTTGCTTCAGGGTAAAAAAAAAAAAATGACATTTTATATGTCTGCACTAAACTGATTACACACTACATAAACTATCCCTAATCAGTACAAGAGAACTGCATGAGAAACTATGCAGTAAACAAAAAGAAGTAAATTACTTAAATTAACATATACAATAATCTCATATCCATGTAGAAGTTTAAAAACTCATGTTAAAGTGGTTGTAAATCTCAGACATGAAATACGAACAAAGCATATCCCTCTATGGTTGTTGCTTGTCTCAATTAAGAGCATTAAGTATCACTTCTGTCTGCTCGCGCAGCGACGCGACGTCAGCCCTGAAATCTGCTCCCCAATGTGTTTCGTTCAGACAGACATGATCAGGGGGACTGCTGCTAGGACTTCAAGAGGCAACAATTGTCAAATGCAACCGGCTGCCTTTATATGAATACTCTAAAGATGTTATGGGAGTGCAATGGTTTAATATTCATAAAGTGAGGTTTTAAATGTTTACTACTCATTGGAGAAAGTGTTTTATCTCATGTGGGATGCTTAAAGCGGAGCACCACAGTGAGACTATTCTATATGTTAATATAACTAAAAATTGCTTTGCCTATTTTTATTGTATATTGCACAGTTTCTCAAATTGCTAACATGTATTGATAGGGTGATATCACGTAGGGGTAGTATACATTGCTGGTTTATATAGTATGTAATCGTAAAGTTGTAAAAACACAGTGGTGAGAAAACATGTAAACCCCATGGAATTAACTGGTTTTCCGCCGTAATTTGCCATAAAATATGATCTGACTGTCATCTATGCCACAACAATAGAAAGACACAATGTGTTTAAAGCTGATAACACAAACAGTTCTAACTTCTTATGTATTTATTGAAAACACCCATGCAACATTCACAGTACTGGAGGAAAAAAAAAGTAAGTAACTCCAAGGGTTTAACAGGTGGTCAAACCTCCTTTGGCAGCAATGACTTCAAGCAGGTGCTTTCGGTAGCTCTGGACCAGACCTGCACAATGTTCAGGAGGAATTTTTGACCATTTATATTTACAAAATTGCTTCAGCTCAGAAACATTGGTAGGATATACCTTGTGTGAGCAACTAATCGAGGTTATTCCACAGCATCTCAATGGGGTTAAAGTGGTTGTAAAAAATGTTTCACTGCGTGTATCTCCCTCTCACCCTCCTTATAGTTACCAGAGTCTGATCTCAATCCAGTGCTGGGCCTGTCTGCAGCAGCTCACCCCTCTTCTCCCCACTCTCACAGGCATTGCTGTCAGTCAAATCATGTGACAAGGGAATGGGGCAGGGCCAAGTCCCGCTGTTTGTGTCTATAGACATCGGCACCGCGGGGTGGGAGCAAACCAGCATGTGTGCCACAATAGGACGTGGAAAAGGAGGAGCCAGGAGTGCTGGCAGGGGACTCCAGAAGAGGAGGATTGTGGCTGCTCTGTGCAATTCCATTGCACAGAGCAAGCAAGTATAAACCTGTTTGTTATTTTCAAGAAAAACAAATAAGACTTTACAAACACTTTAAGGTCTGGGCTCTGACTGGACCACTCTAAAAGCCACATTTTCTTTTTCTGAAGCCAGTCTGTGGTCTCCAGGATTGAAGTGGTTAACTTAGGCATCTACTAGGTCAACGAAGCCTCAAATGTTATTGCTTAACCTCCCTAGCGGTCTGATTATGTCCATATTTCTGTGCTCAAAGCGGTACACTTTTTTGCATGGAATTTTAAGGAATAACTCACTGAAATCTGTCTGAACAAAAGTCTAGTAAACATCCCGGGTATGTTAAAATTTGAAACACGAAATCATAAATTATAATTTAATAAATAATCATAAAAAAATATTATAATAAATTTAATTCAATAATATAATCAAACCAAAAACACTGAAATTTGAAATATAGCGCCACGTTCACACATCACTGAGCAAAGTCGCAAAATCGTTTTCAGTGTCTGATGACGAATTTCCCCACGAATCATTATCACTCAATTCTGCAAGTGGTTCTAATTTACTATCGCTGTTCTCTAGCTGGTCTAGAACCGATTTTGACCTAACGGGACGTTTTTTGGACGCCATGGACATTTCTCAGTTTCCAGGCAGAAAGAACAGTAAAAATGCAGGCAGGGTACAGGACAAAGCACTAGTGACAAAATGTATGTGAAACGGTTTGATACAGTAATGTTTTATGTGATTTTAGTGTATTAGTGAATGTCACTGTTTGTAATTTTCAAATTTCCTGCCGTTCCGTCTCCATATGTCCCGACGTTGCAGTGGACGGAACCCAGAAGACAGATGCAGGCATCCGCCGGAGGACTTTACAGGGGACAATGCAGGAGGGACATCGCGAGAGCGCAGGACAAGGTAAGAGAAGAACAGATCCCGGAGCAGCACCGCATGGTAAGCCCGAGTGTAGCTCGGGGTTACCGCTTGTGGTACTGAAACTTTACCCCGAGCTACACTCGGGAATACCTCCAGGGAGGTTAACAGTATAAGCATGATTTCCTCCTGGTGCCAAAAGTAATTGGCCAATGCTTCTGTATATCAAGTTCTAATTTAGGAACAGTTTAGTGGATTTTTTCTTGGTTTGGAATGATGTTATGAAAAATTTTAGAAAGGATGTACAAATTACCAGTTTAACGTCACAGAGGAGGTCTAGTGCTAGAATTATTGCTCTCACTCTGACGTTCACAGTGATACCTCACATTAGTGGTTTTAAAAACACCATTTACATTGGTGGGCGTGGCCTACGTATGCGTTCACCACTGCGCGTGAACGAAATGTTTTCTCACTTTTATTCTCATCACAAGGAATGCAAACATCCCTTGTGATAGAAATAAGCAATGAAAGGTTGTCTCTATGGAGAGATCTGGGGTCAATAAGACCCCACATCTCTCCTCTAAAATGTCAAGCAAAATAATATATATATATATATATATATATATATATATATATATATATATATATATATATACACACACACACACACACACACACACATACATACATATATATATAAAATATATAATATAGGCCTTGTTTACATGGCACCAGAACCGGAAGGCGGGGGTGGGGCTGTTTTCAGCACCTATTTTCATATCAGCCAAAGTCCGATAAGGGTATTTTTGGACAAAATGTTTCGGCTGCCGAAATTTTGGTGCATCCCTATATAATAGGGGGGCAGCAGCAGCAGGACACCTCACCACCATTGGTGGACACTTGGAAAACGTATGGTCAGTAAACTTTTTATCTATAATCTTTTCATGTACCCCACACCTACCAACCCTGAATAAAGATATCTGAAGCAGTATCACACTATGAGGTCTCTTATTGGGCACTCTGTGTGAGTGCTATCATTCGCAGTGCCCATCTGGAGGATTCTGGACCCTTGGTGGTGATACCTGGTAGCAGTTCTGATGATCTTACTTCTGTGGAACCGGGATGGTGATCTGGGGGCAATCTGATCTGGGATCTGATGATCGTTTTATGGCCTGGTGACGCAGGATTACATATTGCGTATGTTAAACGCACATCTGGTGAGTGCGTTTTTCACCTATTTGTGTGGTTCACACTTATCATCACACCTTGGATCAGGACGTCCACTCACCTGAATTAGGATCTCTCCGCGATCCGCACTATTATATCGAACTTTTTGAATCACAGATCACCTTTGGGGTGATATCACGCATGTGTACAAATTCACACAAACTCACACTAATATATTGTGTGTATTAACTGTGTATTATTTAGCGCTGCACCATTCTATGTGATATATATCCCTATATAATGATTACTATATTATGGCACCTGAACCCATTATTTTCACTAACAGTAAATGTTTGATAATTACTTAGGGCTCATGCAGATGGACACAATGGGACAAACACTGCCAGAATGCAGCGTATATCTGTGCTTGGGGATTTACAGATATACAGCCACAGCCCGTACAATGACAGGCTGACAGATGTTACAGCTGTATCGCTGCAACTACACATCCATGAGGTTACACACAAACATGGAGAGGAGTGGCATTTTGCTTCCAGGGCACTTATCTCTCCCTGTATGCGTGTAACCACTCAAATGTGCAGTTAGGGACGAACAGCTGCTGCAACTACCAACCTGTATAAATTATCTATATATGGTAAACTAACCAACATAGTTACCATTTTTTAGCACTACTTATGCACAGGTATAAACTAGAAGAAAAAATACTTGTTTAGAGAAAGATAAGCACTAAAAAAAAAAAAAAATATGTAACATTAAAATACTACCTGATCTTTCATTCTTGCTTTCCTGGGGATTGTGATGTCAGACTCTGCTGGGTTATTAAACTTGATATCTATAAAACTATTTTCTCGCAGCGCTGCTTCTACTTTTCCAGATGATGGAACGGGAGAAGAACAAGCGGAATCAGCAGGTCTTGGAGAGATGCTTTCTATTCTACTTGTACTTCCAGTGCTAGCATTGTCTTCATCATCACTAGATAGGATTACTGGAAGTACAAAATACATTTTCAAGGTAAGCAACTATAAATAATACATAGTGTTATTCAAAGAATCTATTCACATAACAAAAGACAAAGTTAAAACTGTATTTAAAAAAAAAAAAACCAAAATGAGTGTGCAATACCCTGAAATAGAAGTGCAAATTAGGTGATTGTCACAAGGTATGACACACTTTTTAGATATTTATTTGTAAAAAAATTTGAAAACCATTTATCATTTTCCTTCCACTTCACAATTTTGTGCCACGTTGTGTTGAACCATCACATAAAATCCCAATAAAATAAATTTATGTTTTTGATTGTAACATGACAAAATGTGTAAAATTTCAAGGTGTATCAATACTTTTTCAAGGAACTGTATCCGTAGGTGACATTCTGCAGACCTGCTGGGGATAACTAAAACAAAGCTGACAACAGTGTTTGGGATTTATGGGCAGTAGAGACAGTGCTGTTAGCATGCAAGAGGCAATCAGGAGCTCAACATATTTTTGGAAAGATTATCTGGTATTTTTTAGAATTTGCACTATTTTAGAAGAGATAAAACAGGAAGTGGCATTGCAGAGATGCACTGCATATGTTTTTCATAATTAGTCCAAACATACACATATGTACTATAGCATTGTTGATCTCCCATTCTCATAAGTACATTGCTAGAAATTTGTTTTCCTACAACAAACTGACTGAACAAAAAATCTTGAATTCCCTGGATTTTAAAAAACAGAAACAGCTGGAACAAACTGTGGCTCTGCAGATCTGTTTCAAAGATGCAAATACCTGCTTCCCACAGGGGGCAGCTACAAACCTAGTGAGGAGTGCCTTCAACACACCAGGGAATTCCCTACCCGCAGATTCATTACCTAGATTAGCTGCTAGATTGACCCAGTGACCAATAATATTTTTAGATGTTATATACCACCCCCCCCCCCCCCTTAAACCTTTCGCCACAACAGGTATACATCAGTGGCAGCATTTGCAGGAGCAGTGTGAGACATGGAGGTTACTGCCACAAACCACCAATGACTGTATCATCACTGACACAGGGGCACAACACAAGGGCCCCATTCTGACCAATGACAAAGGGGCATATTTTACTGCCACTGATCACTGTAACAGGTATTTATTATTCTGACTAATGCTGGGACATTTCTTTAAACCCACTGATGCAGAGGCTTTTTTTTTCCCCTCTCTCACTGACCACCAATGCCGGGGCTTTTTATTCCCCCCCCCCCCCTTCTCAGTGACCACCAATGCCGGGGCACTTTTTTTCCCTCTCACTGACCACCAATGCTGTGACTTTTTTCCCCCCTCTCAGTGACCATAAATGCCTGGGCTTCCCCCCTCTCAGTGACCATAAATGCCTGGGCTTCCCCCCTCTCAGTGACCACCAATTCCGGGGCTTCCCCCCTCTCAGTGACCACCAATGCCGGGACATTTTTTCCACTCACTGACCACCAATGCCGTGGCATTTTTTCTTCTCATTGACCACCAATGCCGAGGCATTTTTCTCCTCACTGACCACCTAACAACCAATGCCGGGGCATTTTTCCACTCTCACTGACAACCAATGCTGGGGCATTTTTCCCCCCTCACTGACAACCAATGCGGGGCATTTTTCCCTCTCACTGACAACCAATGCCGGGGCATTTTTCCCTCTCACTGACAACCAATGCCGGGGCATTTTTTCCCTCCACCAAATTTCCCTCCATTGGCCAATGACATGCATTTTTTTTTCCTCCCACTGACCACCAATGCAGGGGCATTTTGTGCTCATACCATAGTCAAGTCCCAAACAAAAAGTAAAAGGACAGTGAAGTGGCCCTTTTTATAACAATTTTGGGGATATCTGATTTAAAGTATTCTGTGTGGTCAGACATACCCTGCAGGGTCTTCAGAGACTGGGGTCGACCACAGCAGACCACAGCCTTGGACCCGTAAGAGCTCCCCAGCTCACAGATGGAATGGCCTGCCAATGTGAGCGCCATACATGGGATCCTGTGCCAATGCAGTTTTCAGACCCGTTCCTCCACTGGTGTCTTGTTACTGTCCCTTTTGTATATAAGTAATCAGTCCAAAAAAAAAAACGCCATTGCTATAGAGCACTGAGGCACAACAGTGGAAGGCAGTTCAAGCAGAAATCAATGTATTAAGGAAGAAATGTCTGATTCAGCAGAGAGGCAAAGATGCATCATCTACTGACACTAGCAAAAAAACTGAGGAGTGAGAGGGGTTATGCTGTGCTGTATAAAGCTTTGCCAGTTGCCAGCGTCCAGTCACCTGGAGGTGAAGCATAACCCAATAGTCTAAAAAATAACTCTGCTGTATCCTGTGATGTATGATTAAGAAAACTCAACTCCCACTTCTGCTGTTTGGGTTTTTTTTAAACCGTACCCTCTTATTCTTTGTGCCATAAGACACATCTTAACAAATTTTTTTGTTTACTACTACCAACTGACGCAAGGCCAAAGCCCATAAATATTTTTTGTGATTACTGTATGTACACCATTAAAGAAATGACACAGATATTATTACTTACTTGTGTCATTTGGTTCTGAAGATCTGGTACTCCTAACTCTTGCATTTTTTGTAACCTTGCTTTCAACAGAAAGTCCAATTTTCCCATTTGGTGTATTTGTCTTCCACCTTAATGTTTCATTTTTTGAAAAGGAATCCATAGGAACCTTAATATATGAAGAGCCATAAAAGTTCTTAGCACTTATTTTGTTGACAGGAGTTTCTACAGTTTCATTTTGATGAATTGAAGGCCGAGCTAGGGAAGCAGGTGATTCCGACATGGAGGTGTTTTGTCTGTACAGTTTCTGAGTACCTCCACAACTTTGGCATTTTGTCTTATTTCTATTGTCTTTACCACAAGATGTGCAGCACTGAAAAGGTTCATTCTGTTCCATGCTCTGTCAGACAAAAAAAATGTATATTATAAAAACTAAACAAAAAAAAACAAAACAAAAAAGTAATTAAAATAAAATATGGATTAGGGTGGACATTTAACTGTGAGAAATGAAAATAATTAGCCAACAGCCATTTCCTTCTACCCAAGACATCACAAGCCTGTTCACACTGGTACTTGCTACAAGAAAGGAAAAAAAAAACAAAAAAAAAAAAAAACAACAACTAGCACAATTTTGAAAAGAAAATCAAGCATTACTGCATACTGTATTTACAGTACGTGTGTTATGAATGTAAGAAAACACATCAACATATACACATCAACATATACACATATATACAGTTGCAAGAAAAAGTATGTGAACCCCTTGGGATTACGTGAAGTTTTGCATGAATTGGGCATAAAATGTGCTCTGAACTGAACGTCACCTAAGTCACAACAATAGAAGAACACAGTCTGCTGAACATAATACTACACAAACATTAGATGTTGCCATGGTTTAATTGCACATAACATGTAAACATTCACAGTGCAAAGAGGAAAAAGTATGTGAGGCCCTAGCTTAATGAATTCTCCCAGAGCTAATTGGAGCCAGGAGTGAGCCAACCTTGACTCCAATCAGTGTGATGATATTGGATGTGTTGCTGACAGCTGTCCTGCCCTTAAAAAACACACACCTGTTTTGGGTTTACTGGTTTCAAGAAGCACTGTCTGATGTGAACCATGCCTCACAGAAAAGAGCTCTCAGAAGACCTACGATCAAGAATTGTTGACTTGCATGAAGCTGGAAAGGGTTACAAAAGTATCTCCAAAAGCCTTGATGTTCATGTGTCCACGGTAAGACAGACTGTCTACAAATGGAGAAAGTTTAGCACTGTTGCTACTCTTCCTAGGCGTGGTCGTCCTGTAAAAATGACTGCAAGAGCACAGCGCAGAATGCTGCATGAGGTAAAGAAGAATCCCAGAGTGTCAGCTAAAGACCTACAGAAATCTCTGGCACATGCTAACATTTTTGTTGACACATCTACAATAAGGAAAACATTAAACAAGAATGGAGTACATGGGAGGACACCACAGAGGAAGCCATTGCTGTCCAAAAAGAATATTGCAGCACGTTTGAAGTTTGCAAAAGAGCACCTGGATGTTCCACAGCACTACTGGCAAAATATACTGTGGACAGATGAAACCAAGATTGAGTTGTTTGGGAAGAATGCACAACACTATGTGTGGAGAAAAAAAGGCACAGCACACCAACATCAAAACCTCATCCCCACTGTAAAACATGGCGGAGGGAGCATCATGGTTTGGGGGTGCTTTGCTGCCTCAGGGCCTAGACGGATTGTTGTCATTGATGGGAAAATGAATTCCAGAGTTTATCGAGACATTTTACAGGAAAACGTACGACCATCTGTCCACCAACTGAAGCTCCGCAGAGGATGGGTGATGCAACAGGACAATGACCCAAAACATACAAGTAATTCAACAAAATAATGGCTGCAACAGCACAGAATACGCCTTCTGGAGTGGCCCAGTCAGAGTCCTGACCTCAACCCGATTGAAATTCTGTGGCATGACCTTAAGAAAGCGATTCACACCAGACATCCCAAGAATATTGCTACACTGAAACAGTTTTGTAAAGAGAAGTGGTCCAAAATTACTCCAGATCGTTGTGCAGGTCTGATCTGCAACTACAGGAAACGTTTGGTTGAGGTTATTGCTGCCAAAGGAGGGTCAACCAGTTATTAAGTCCAAAGGTTCACATACTTTTTCCTCCCTGCACTGCGAATGTTTACAAGTTATGTGCAAATAAACCATGGCAACATCTAATGTTTGCGTAGTATTATGTTCAGCAGACTGTGTTCTTCTATTGTTGTGACTTAGATGACCTTCAGAGCACATTTTATGCCCAATTCATGCAAAAATCCACGTAATCCCAAGGGGTTCACATACTTTTTCTTGCAACTGTATACATACACATACATACATACACACACATACACATACATAAATCATTGGCTTCAGGTGCTCCAATCACCTCTATGGCCACAGGTGCATGAAATCAAGCACCTAGGCATGTATAAAATTAAATATATGAAAAGTGCCACGCTCCTGTGTATTTACTATTACAATAAAGGAATTAGTAATAAAAAATTAATAAAAAGCACGTACGGTGAATAAACAATTATAAATAATATAAAAACTTATATGTGGTACTTGGATGAAGATGACCTACTGCCTATACCACCTTAAATAAATAACATATATTGTGCTAGTAATATTAGTGAATATATAAAGTGATGTATAAGAATATATAAACACGTGCTTATAAACAGTCCTCTTTTAATATAAATTGCTTATAGTACAATGCCGCTCCACCAATCCATGTGTCGTGTGATTTAATTATGCACTCACCTCAGGTTTTGCCTTATAATAAGGCAAAACTAACTTTTTGTCCTTGTAGGACTACTGGGATGATCCTCCTGCATGGGATTTTCCAAATGGCAAAATAGGATGACTGTGATAAACTCTCAATCCACCTGGGGTCTCTGCAGTATCTGTATCTAGTGCTGATCAAATGTTGATGGATGGATGATTCTCTTTTTTCCTCCAGAGATCTCCTTCCTCCTATGTAGATCTCTCTCCAATGTGTCACAGATAAATAGATTGAAGAAAGAGAGAGACCATGGTGCTTTATCCTTTAAAATTGGATTTTATTAATTGCGGCAAGTTCCATTCACAGGTTGACATGTAGCTGTGAGTAAAAATAGTTTCAGCTGGCCTGCAGTCTCTGCTATACTCGCCGTGCTGTGTCCTAGGCAACGTCGTGCCGTCAGAGCTCCTCCCCTACGCGTTGCGACACGGGTCACGTGACTTCATCAGGGGGATACGATACGATCCCCCTGATGAAGTCACGTGACCCGGTGACGCAACGCGTAGGGGAGGAGCTCTGACGGCACGACGTTGCCTAGCACACAGCACAGCACAGCACGGTGAGTATAGCAGAGACTGCAGGCCAGCTGAAACGATTTTTGCTCACAGCTACATGTCAACCTGTGAATGGAACTTGCAGCAATTAATAAAATCCAATTTTAAAGGATAAAGCACCATGGTCTCTCTTTTTCTTCATACTATTTATCTGGTGACACATTGGAGAGAGATCTACATAGGAGGAAGGAGATCTCTGGAGGAAAAAAGAGAAACATCCATCCATCAACATTTGATCAGCACTAGATACAGATACTGCAGAGACCCCAGGTGGATTGAGAGTTTATCACAGTCATCCTATTTTGCCATTTGGAAAATCCCATGCAGGAGGATCATCCCAGTAGTCCTACAAGGACAAAAAGTTAGTTTTGCCTTATTATAAGGCAAAACCTGAGGTGAGTGCATAATTAAATCACACGACACGTGGATTGGTGGAGCGGCATTGTACTATAAGCAATTTATATTAAAAGAGGACTGTTTATAAGCACGTGTTTATATATTCTTATACATCACTTTATATATTCACTAATATTACTAGCACAATATATGTTATTTATTTAAGGTGGTATAGGCAGTAGGTCATCTTCATCCAAGTACCACATATAAGTTTTTTATATTATTTATAATTGTTTATTCACCGTACTTGCTTTTTATTATTAATTTTTTATTACGAATTCCTTTATTGTAATAGTAAATACACAGGAGCGTGGCACTTTTCATATATTTAATTTTTGACGTTACACTATTTATTGAGTTGGTGTGAGTGTCAGCGAACCATAGGTTGATTATACATTTTGCTTTGTTTTGCTTATAAATTGGAAGAATTTAGGTAAAACACCATAGTAGCTCACAAGTACACACACCAGTTTTTATTGCACCTAGGCATGTATACTGCTTCTACAAACAATTCTGAAAGAATGGGTTGCAAACTGACCAGCTGGATTCTAAAATGGCCGCCGGACCTCCGTGATCCGCCAGCTGGCGTCATGGTGTGCAGGCTCCTCCTTTTGAAGGAGGAGCCTGAACGCCATGACATCATGCCGCTGAATCATGGAGGTCCAGCGGCCATTTTAGAATCCAGCTGGTCAGTTTATTCAGCAGCTGTATGCTGAATGCATTTGCTTTTTCACCCTGCCTTTTAATTTGTGAATATAATGATATGACACTTTTATTCATTTACATACCATTAAACTATACCTTAATTACCACACTATGGACATACCCCCCTTCTTTGCTCCCCATCGAGCACTTTAATCCCCCAGAGTTTCCCTGGTGATCCATCCCAGTGCCTGGAAGAGGTTGATCAATATGTCTCTTAAAGGGAACCTCCGGCTTAACACCATCCTGTAATTCAGAGAAAGGTCACCTAACCCCAGGCTGTATCTGGTACCACCCTAGAAGGGATCCCTGACAGATCACCATTTACTGTATACAACGCGCTTTATATATGCGCATCTGGTGAGTGCGCATTTTATCTATATCCTGCACTTCACCGGAGTATAGAATCACATATAACTGGGAATAACAGTCACCTGGCAATAATCCTTGATGTTTATTTGAAATATGATCATATCTATTTGAAATCTTTTGCATTTCCAGAGTCTCTTTTCAACGCACATTTAGTCATTGGACAACCTTTGGAGTTATCTATATCTACGTTCATACCATTGATTCCTCGTAGCGATTTATTTATGACATACCTTTAGCGCTGCACTATTACTTTATTTTCTTAAAGGCATATGGTTTTCCTTTTAGTGCAATAGCTGCTTTTTTATCTAGCGCTCGCTGAACACTTTTTATACTTTTATGTACTGTGACATACTGAAGCAGAGCATGATCTCCTCCGTTCAGAGACTGGGGCACAGGACAGTATTCCAACATGATAACGACCCCAAACACACCTCCAAGACGACCACTGCCTTGCTAAAAAAGCTGAGGGTAAAGGTGATGGACTGGCCAAGCATGTCTTCAGACCTAAACCTTATTGAGCATCTGTAGGACATCCTCAAATGGAAG